CATAACACGGTGATGATTTTATTTGTGTATTTATTTAATCCTAACATCAACATTTGCATGGGTTAACTTATCTTAGACGTGTAATGCTTAAATATAAATACTTACTAATGAAATACTTCAATATCATGGAGTGACATTCATAAGTCTAGCGTTACTTGTATCTAACGTCATATATGTTAAACAAATAAGTAAATACAATATATAGGCTGATATATATGAAATATTTAGCACATTTATTACTGTACTGTTGTATTTCATATTAATATGATAAGTCTATAATGTAATTATTATGATAAAAGTGTCAGATTAGTTGTAATATTAATGTATTGAAGCTGTATTTGGCAAGTTTATTATGAATTTTTTTAATCTTAACATCAAAATTTGCATTTGTCAACTTATCTGAGTGCTTAATTATAAATACTTACTAATGAAATACTTCTATATCATAGAGTGAGATTCATAAGTCTATCGCATTTACTTGTATCTAACGTCATATTTGTTAAATAAATTAATAAATACAATATGCAGGCCTATATATGAAATATTTAGTACTTCTATTACTGTACTGTATTGTTTTATATTAATATAATAAGTCCAGGGGCGGACTGGCCATCTGGCAATTCTGGCAATTGCCAGAAGGGCCGGACCAATTTTTAAATGTGGGCCGGTCAGTTTTTTTTTTTTATATGTATTGTTTTTAAGTGCAGACAGCTTTTATCTCTTGCTAGATGCTATTATGTTGATGATAATAATACTAATTATTAATGTTAAGCATTTGGCTCAATCGGCAATTGCTGCCTGGTTTCAAGATGGGCCGACCCAATCTGAGGTTACCTGGACATAATCAAAATCTGGCAAGAATGTCATATTATTTCACCATCTGTACACCAAAATTAATAGTGAATGTGCGTGTCCGTGGGTGGGGCTGTGTCGGTGTGGTAATTTGTGTCGGTGTGGTAGTTTGTGTGGCTACAGTGCCAGGGCTGAATTTTTGTCCCAGTCCGCCCCTGAATAAGTCTATAATGTAATTATTTTGGTGAAATGTCAGATTAGCGGTAGTATTATTGTAATGATGGTGCATTTGTTATGTATATGCTGCTTATGAACACATTTATTACATAATAATTACACAAATACACAAACCCTGTCAGTTCAATGTGGAAAAAACGTTCATAAGTCTATAGCACTTGTATCTAACGTTATATTTGTTAAAAAAATTAATAAATGCATTATGCGGCCTATATATTAAATATTTAGCACATTTATTACTGTACTGTATTATTTTAAATAATAAGTTTATATGTAATTATTATGATAAAAGTGTCAGATTAGTTGTAGTATTAATGTATTGAAGCTGTATCTTGTAAGTTTATCGTGAATTTATTTAATCTTAACATCAACATTTGCATTTGTTAACTTATCTGACAAGTATAATGCTTAATTATAAATACTTACTAATGAAATACTTTAACAAATTAATAAATACAAATATGTAGGCCTATATATGAAATATTTAGCACATGTATTACTATACTGTATTGTTTTATATTAATATAATAAGTCTATAATGTAATTATTTGCAAGAAATGTCAGATTAGCGGTAGTATTATTGTAATGATGCTGTATTTGTCATGTTTATGCTGCTTATAAACACATTTATTTCATAATAATTACACAAATACACAAACCCTGTCAGTTCAATGTGGAAAAAACGTTCATAAGTCTATAGCCCTTGTATCTAACGTTATATTTGTTAAAAAGAAAAAAAAATGCATTATGCAGCCTATATATTAAATATTTAGCACATTTATTACTGTACTGTATTATTTTATATAATAAGTTTATATGTAATTATTACGGTGAAATGTCAGATTAGTTGTAGTAATAATGTATTGAAGCTGTATTTGGCATGTTTATCATGAATTTATTTAATCTTAACATCAACATTGGCATTTGTTAACTTTTCTGAGAAGTATAATGCTTAATTATAAATACTAATGAAATACTTCAATATCATAGAGTGAGATACATAAGTCTATAGCATTAACTTGTATCTAACATCATATTTGTTAAACAAATTAATAAATACAAATATGCAGGCCTATATATGAAATATTTAGCACATGTATTACTATACTGTATTGTTTTATATTAATATAATAAGTGTATAATGTAATTATTTGTAAGAAAAGTCAGATTAGCGGTAGTATTATTGTAATGATGCTGCATTTGTTATGTATATGCTGCTTATGAACACATTTATTACATAATAATTACACAAATACACAAACCCTGTCAGTTCAATGTGGAAAACACGTTCATAAGTCTATAGCCCTTGTATCTAACGTTATATTTGTTAAACAAATTAAGAACTACAATATATAGGATTATACATGAAATATTTAGCACATTGATGTACTGTATTCATATTAATACGATAAGTCAACAGTACTGTACTGATTTTGGTGAAATGTCAGATTAGTTGTAGTATTAATGTATTGAAGCTGCATTTGTCATGTTTATTATGTTGCTTATAAACAATTTATTGAATCTTAATGTCTAAATTTGCATTTGCTAACTTATCTTAGAAGTATAATACTTAAATATAAATATTTACTAATGAAATACTTCAATATCATGGAGTGACATTCATAAGTCTGTAGCATTCACTTGTATCTTTTGTTGTATTTATTAAACCAATTAATAAATGCATTATGCGGCCTATATATGAAATATTCAGCACATTTATTACTATCCTGTATTGTTTTATATTAATATAATAAGTCTGTAATGTAATTATTTTGGTGAAATGTCAGATTAGTTGTAGTATTAAGGTATTGAAGCTGTATTTGGCAAGTTTATCATGAATTTATTGAATCTTAATATCTACATTTGCATTTGCTAACTTATCTTAGAAATATAATACTTAAATATAAATATTTATTAATGAAATACTTTAATATCACGGTGTGACATTCACACGTCTATAGCATTCACTTGTATCTAACGTCATATTTGTTAAACAAATTAATAAATACAATATATAGGCCGAAATATATGAAACATTTAGCACATTGTGCACATTTATTACTGTACTGTTATATTTTATATTAATATGATAAGTCTATAATGTAATTATTATGGTAAAAGTGTCAGATTAGTTGTAGTATTAATGTATTGAAGCTTAATGCCAACTGACACAGCCAAGGCTCGAACCAGCAACCTTCTTGCTGTGAGGCGATTATGCTACTCTCTGTGCCACTGTGATGTTTGGGATGTTTCCCAGAGATGGGTTGCAGCTGAAAGAGCATCCGCTGTGTAAAAATGTGCTGGATAAGTTGGCGGTTCATTCCGCTGTGGCGACCCCGGATTAATAAAGGAACTAAGCCGACAAGAAAATGAATGAATGAAGGAATTGTGAACGTCACACACCGTGATACTGAAGTAATTGATTATTAAGCATTTATATTTATTATTATAACATTACTTCTCAGATAAGTTAACAAATGCAAATTTAGACATTAAGATCAAATAAACACACAATTAAAATCATCAGAGTCATGACTAAGTCGTGGATTTGATCGTAATAATCTAGGAAAAGTCTGTATAGTAACAGTGTTTTTCTGTAAACATTTTAATGAAAACATCTGTAGATTCATTAGTTCTTTGCACTTTATTTCAACAAAGAAATTTTACCATAATTTTATGGTTTTTTTCTGCCAGTCATTTGACTTTTTTTAGATTTTTTTTTTTTTTTTTACAGAGCAAGTAATTACAATTTATTACTTTAATTTTACGTAATTTTAAATGTACTTCATAAAAAACAGGAAAAAAATACTGTATAAAACAGACAAATTGCTGTAATTTGTCATTACTTACATAGTACATAAAATAACAGTCAAGCTGTTTACAGATATTTTTTTATATTTTTTGATTTACAGATATTGTTTGTAATTTTTACGGATTTTTGAATATAATTTAAAATAACAGAAAAAATACTGTATAAATAATACTGTAATTTCCCTGTATAAAAAACAAAAATGTCAGTAATTTGTCTTTAATGATAAAGTACCTAAAATGAAAGTCAAACTGTGAATTTAGAGAGATTGTTTGTCATTTTACTAAGTTCTACATATAATTTTAAATGACAAAAAATTACTGTAAAAATTTAGGGATAGATTCTGTAAAATTAGTTTTTTTTTTACAGTGTAGTTTGTACACCAAGATAAATAACCGCGCACACTGGACTAACTATGACTGAGGATTAATTAAGGCAATCACCTTCGATCGAGCACCTTGCAGATTCTTTTGCCTCGCTGCACACGCTGAATTAACAATCCATTGATAAAGACCAAAAACACATTAAATGATAGTAAAAAGTTGTAATTTTACCCATTAAATGCGTCAATAATATCCACTGAATTTTATGTAGTCAATCAAATGAACTTTTAAAATGTCAACAAATACGTATTTAGGCCCAAACTACAAATCCAAATTTAAAATAATTTTAATTTTAAACAAGTGAAGTTTTGAAATCAATTAATGCAAATAACCGTGAAAACGTGATTATTTCTTAGACTATTATCGTACAACTATAATTTATAATCGTTGCATCCCTATTTATAATGTATTTGTGCTGTTTAAGGTATGGACAATCAGACGGTGCTCAATGTCCAGTCACTGTTAGATGGTCAGGGGGGAGTTTTGGATCCAAACACACAAAACGTTTCAGGAACAACAATCCAACCAATGGGTAAGGCTTATACTTTATATTTGTGTAATTGTAGTATTTTTATACTGTTTGAGCATGAGCAATAATTAATAATTTTACTTTTTGTTTAACTATTTTTTAAAATAAATCTTTTTGTGTTTTTTTTACTTTAGTTATATGTTTTTATATAATATTTATGAAGTAATATTAATTAACACATTAATATTATTTCAACTATGTTTAAATGATTGCAAACAATCAATATTTTTAGTTTTGATTTGTATATGGAGACATTTAAAAATACAAAATTAGTAGTAAAATAATTAATGAAGTAATTTATTATGTTCTCTTTTTTCAACTTTTATTTTTTTGCTGTAATTTATTTAAACTTCAGGCTTCTTTTCTTTCAAATTATTTACATTTCTTATCTAATACATATAGTTTAAAATGATTAATAATAGTATTTGTTAACAATGACAGTACAGACAATATAAACAATATTTTACAATACAATAATTTAAAAATATTGTACAAACATTGTATTTTAATATTAACATTAATTATAATTTTTGTTGTTATATATATATATATATATATATATATATATATAGAGAGAGAGAGAGAGAGAGAGAGAGAGAGAGAGAGAGAGAGAGAGAGAGTTTACTTTTACTAAAATTTACTATTTTAGCTCCGTTAGGATTACCTAAATCATTTACATTTGCTAAATGCCAGAATAATGAGAGAATTTTAAAAAAGTTTAATTAATTTCTAGACAGTCAAAAGTTTACACACATTTTCTTGGTGTTTTTTAGCTTTGCTTTTAAACTGTATAACTTTGGTCAAATGTTTTGGGTCTCCTTCCACAAGCTTCTCACAATAGTTTAAAGATATTTTGGCTCATTCCTCCTGACAGAATTGGTGTAACTGAGTCAGATTCGTAAGCTGTCTTGCTTGCACAAGCTTTTACAACTCTGCCCAAAAATTTTCTACAGGATTGAGATCAGGGCTTTGTGATGGCCACTCCAAAACATTCACTCTGTTGTCCTTAAAGCACATTTTAACTAATTTTGGCAGTATGTTTAGGGTCATGGTCTGTTTGGAAGACTTGTGGCCAAGTTTTTACTTCCTAGCTGATGTCTTGAGATGTTGCTTCAGTATTTCTACATGATGTTCTTTCTTCATGATGCCATCTATGCTGTGAAGTGGACCAGTCCCTCCTGCAGCAAAACAGCCCCACAACATGATGCTGCCGTCCCCCATACTTCACAGTTGGGATGGTGTTGCTAGGCTTGTAAGCTTTCCCCTTTGTCCTCCAAATGTAACACTGGTCATTATGGCCAAGCAGTTCAATCTTAGCTCCATCAGAACACAGGACATGTCTACAAAAATTATTATTGTTCCCAGTGTAATTTAGCAAATTGTAATCTGGCTTTTTTATTGATTCTGGCTTGTTGATTTTCCCATGTTGTCACACAAGGAAGCAGTGTGTTTGAGGTCTTCCTTAAATACTATTCTACAGTTGTGCCTCACATTAAATCAAATGTTGTCAATTAGCCAATCAGAAACTTCCGAAACCTTTACTCTATCATCTGAGCTTTTTCAGAGGCAGAATAATCTTATTGTGTGTAAACTTGACTTTTCAAGAAAAGTTTTAGCAATTTCTCAAAGAATATCTCTCATTATTCTGCTATTAAGCAGAACAGAAACTAATGTGATAATCCTAACTTACCTAAAAGAGAAACACATTACCATTAACATCTGACCTTTTTTAAAAATGGTTGTGTCTTTTTGTACTGTGCATGTAAACCTATGCTTTCAACTGTATATATATATATATATATATATATATATATATATATATATATATATATATATATATATATATATACATGTATATATTTTTGACTATAATGGTTCATATAAATTCTGCCAAGGACATTCAGAATATGTGTGCGAGTTTCTTTGCGGGTGCTAATCTAAATATCCATTCATTTATTTTCTTTTGTCTCTTTATGTTTATTTATCTGGCTCTATTACAGCGGAATGAACCACCAACTAATCCAACATATGATTTACATAGTGTATGCCCTTCCGGCTGCGACCCTGTACTGGGAAACACCCATATACACAGATTAACATGCATACATTACCGTCCATTTAGTTTATTCAATTCACCTATAGCACGTGTCTTTGGACTGGTATGGAAAACGGAGCACCCAGAGGAAACCCTTGAGAACACGGGGCACACGCCAACACACAAATGCCCACTAACACACCCAGGACTGCAACCAGCGACCTTCTTGCTGTGTGTTGAGAAGGCTA